GAGAGAGAGAGAGAGACAGAAAGCAAGAAATCACCCCCGGGGAGATGGCCACACCGCAATACCTTCTCCTCCATTCTCCTCTCAGAATCTTGGGCATGCACGAACACGTGCCTGGTGTGAGTTTAAGCCACCGGGTCCGGGACTCGAACCACGGTTGACTACGTGGGAGTCCAGCGACATGGCCATTACGCTAACTGCTGGTCTCAATAAATAAAAAATCTGTGAGAAAGATGAGAGAGATCTAAAACAAACCCATAGCTGTGTGATCACATTCTGTTTCCCACAAGGGACTACTGGGATAGAAGGATTACCTTCTCAGTAGTGTTTGGTCAGTTGAATATCAATGGGGGACACGAACCTTGACCCTGTACCTCACACAAAAGAATGATTCTAGAAGCATGGTACATGGAGTGTGAAAGGTACAGTTCTGCACAGTAACAGAATTCCGTGGCCGTGGAATGGGAAAACTGTTTTTATTGCTAGTAGTACTTAAAGTACCAACCCTAAATTAAGGACTGGTAATTTGGGCAACACTGAATTTAGACAGGGAAAGACACCATTAGGAGAATGAGAAGGCAAGCAACAAAGAGGATACTTGTGATACATACTTCTAAAAATTGCTCTTTTTTTTTTTCAAAATATATAAGTAGTTCTTGCAAATAGAGTTTTTACAGGATCTGAAGTGGTAGAAGACAAACTGTGGGAAGAATGTTGAGAGAAAAACCAGTGAAAATGGGACTTCCTTCAGGAGTCCTCACTGGATCATCCAGGTGAGGTGTGACCACTCCCGGACTCAGCGTTGCCTCCTCCTGCACGTCACAGAAGAACTGCAGTTCAAAATTCAGAGTTGGGGAACCAGTAGGTGGCATGGTGGTTAAGGCGCTGGACGCCCACATGGCCAACCACAGTTCAAGTCCTGAACCTGGTGGTTTGCTTTCTTACTTTCCCTCTCTCACTCTCCCTCTATGGTCAAAATTTTTAAAAAATAATAATAATAATAGATAAAATTGGACAGATCATTCATTTTTTTTTAAAAAAAATTCAGGGTTGGATGGTAGCACAGCAGTGAAACATAAGGCTGACTCATGGGAAGGTTCCAGGGTTGTGTCTGGAGACCTCTCTGACTACATGGGCTTCCAGGTGCCCATGATCCTGGTCAACCTGGAGCTGGGGGTCATCCCACAATCCCTTCTCCTCCATTCTCCTCTTGGAATTTTGAGCACACACGTACAACATGCCTGGTGTGTTTTGCAAACCAACAGGTATGGGACTTGAACCACACAGTTGGCCACGTGGGATCTAGCCACCTTAACCACCATGCCGAGGGCTGGCCTGCAATGGTTTTCTCAGACAGGCCCTCACTATGTTGCTCATGGTGGCCATGAGTTTGAGACTCTCCTGCTTCAGCCTCATAAGTCACTGTGACTGTGCACCCATGCCACTGCACCCAGCTTCTCAGGGTGGGCTAAAGCCAAACCCAGGCCTCAGCCCCCACTGTGACTTCGGCCTGTGAGCAGCAGCATCCAGCCTGTGCTACCGTGGGCGGCCAGGAAATTGTATTTTTAACTAAATGTGAGGTATATTTTCAAATAATATGTTCAGTATGTTTTCCTTTGGCATATTTACATGGAGTTTAGATAGCTATAAGGTACCGTCCCACTGTTCTGGGAATGCTAGACTCCTGTCTGCCAGCTCACAAAGCTCCAGTATCCTAGGAATAACCCAGTGTGTGCCTGAGTTCTTATTGCATGACAGCCAGGATTCCAGTTGTATTTTTTTTTGCTTTAAAGATTCCATTTATGGGACCAGCAGTTAGTGTAATGGCTATGTTGCTGGACTCCCACGTAGTTGACTGCGTTTCAAGTCCCGGACCCAGTGGCTTAAACTCACGCCAGGCGCATGTGCGTGCGTGCCCGAGATCCTGAGAGGAGAATGGAGACCGAGATCCTGAGAGAATGGAGAAGAAGGGATTGTGGCATGGCCATCCCCCCCCAGGGGGTGATTCTTGCTTTCTGTCTCTCTGTCTCTGTCTTTCTGGCGAGCTCACACGCCCTATAACAAAAACCTCTCCAAAAAATGAAAAAAAAAAGATTCCATTTATTTTATCAGAAGACACACAATTTCAGTAACTAGACCTTTGGAGATAGTAAGGGAGATAAATAAGACAATTAATTAGAAAAGCTTCTGATTCTGGTACTGTTGAATTACAAAGGTACCTGCTTTATCTTTTCTTTTAATTATTTTATTTAACTTTATTTATTTATTTTTACTTGACCCAAGAGGGACAGAGCAAGAGAGAAAGAGTGAGAGCAAGAGACAGAGAGAGAGAGAGAGAAAGTGAGAAAGCAAGCTGCCAGGTCCAGGACTTGAACCACTGTCAGCCATGTGGGAGTCCAGCACCCTTAACCACCATGCCACCTGGCAGTCCCCCTGCTTCTTCTTTGAAGTAAAGCTTGTTAGGGAATATTCAGCCTTCTCTCTTAGACGGAGCATGAGGCGAGGGTGCTAGGGAATGTTCAGATTTTCAGTAGCTCGTACATATTGAGTAAACCCTTTCTTTCTTTCTTTCTTTCTTTCTTTCTTTCTTTCTTTCTTTCTTTCTTTCTTCCTTCCTT